CCCAGAATTCCCCAGCCAGCATTCGCTGGCTGGGGAATTCTGGGAGTTGAAGTCCAGACATCTTCAAGTTGCCAAGGTTGAGAAACACTGTCTTAGACAACACGCCTTATGTCCATACCAGCTGGTGATAAAGGAAGTTGTATACCCCAAACCCCTGCAAAAGACAACACCAAGACTGATTTCCATGGAAACTCCTGTCAACATACCACATTGCGCACAGATTCTAGTTCAATTTCCAATGCTTGGGCTGTGCGTCGCAAATCCGCAATGGTGCTACGAGCCGTTTCAATTTCTTTGGTATTTTGAGTGATGACGACAGTGCTCTCTGTGATCTAAGGAGAAAATGTGAAAGCAGATTAGGTTACCCTCTGAAGCTCTCTCTTGACAATACATTTTGTGGGGCACATACTGATTTAAAGAGTTCAGCATGGACCTTTTAGGAGAAAGCCAAGAGAATGAGCTCTTCTGCCTACCTGCTGGCTCCAGTACTTGTCCAAATCCTCAAGATTCTTCTGAGCCAAGGTATCATACTGCGCACGGATCTCTGCCATTATCTTGCCCAGATCCTGTGTTTTGGGAGCATCTACTTCCACAGTCAGACCAGAGTTGGCAATCTGGGTCTGCAAGTTGCTGACTTCCTAAAAGAAACAAAAATAGGAGTATTTGGGTTACCTTTAAGAGTTGAAAAGACAGCCCGGAATGATGGCTATCTATGATTTGTTGTCAAGCTCTCTTCCTTGTTAGGCAGTACACAGGCAGTAACTAACTCCCTTTCCCTTAAACTACTGGCACTGTATTTTCTAGATTTCAGTGCCCAGTGCCAATAAAGACTTACATCTTGATGATTCTTCTTCAAAAAGATCAGCTCTTCCTTGAGGGCCTCAATGTCACCCTCCAACTGCAGACGGCTCATGTTGGTGTCATCAATGAGTTTGCGGAGGCCAACGATGTCACTCTCCACTGACAGGCGAATAGCCAGTTCAGCCTCAAACCTGGGCAGTGGGAAAAGGCAGGATTAGGTTCCCATAGTAATTGGGTTTGTGAAGCAAAAGAGCTGCTGGTATTATGCGGATGACAATGAGTTACCGAGAAAGAACCAATGCTTTATAGAAGCTGTATCCCAGCCAGGGAAATAGAAGAATGGCGCAACGAGATGCAAATTTCTGTTTTCTGATATTTATAAACAGCTTCCTGTCCTTTCAGCCACAAGCTTGAAATTATATGAATGAGGCCTAACATTTCAGAAAGGTAAGATTAAGAGCACAAATAATTGTGCTCTTTTACCATATTAATAATATCAAAATAAATTAGCAACATCAAAGTAAGTATAAGCTAAGGATAAGAGAAAAAATATGTAGAACTCAGAGAGGTTGCACAAAGTCCTTGACTTTTATCATTTATAAACCCTTTCATGAGATAAAAATATATTTTTATTTGGATTAGCTTTTCTTTTTCTAAAAGTTCCTTATTCCTTTAAATTTGAGTTGTAATCCAAACTAGCTGGAAGAACATTAGATTGCCTTAACCCTGCTTTGCCTATTAAGGCTTGGGTGGTTCCAAGGGCTGCTGGACAGGATTCCAGAGCCAGTTAGTGAACTGGGATGAAAACACTCACTTGACACGGAAGTCATCGGCAGCCAGGCGAGCATTATCAATCTGCAGGATAATACGAGCATTTTCCACAGACTGATCGTAGATCTGAGGAGAGGAAAGGAAAGGAAGCACACATGGCAGATTCATAAATGTGAAATAAATATTTGAGTTGCCTATCAGGAAAAAAAAATTTATGCTGTTTAAAAATGGCATTTTTAAACAGCATAAATCAATTGGCGGAAAGCTACAGAAGCCGCCTCTCCCACCACAGACCCATTGGACTCAGATCTATGCCTGTGCAGATGCTACAAAAAGCAAAACCTTCTACAGCAGTAGCTAAACCCCTCTTCTCCATACACTTGGACTGAGATTTCCAGATGGGATGGGATAATCAAAATATCCAGACTTTTCAGGCTTTATAGTAACCAGACCTGAAACTTCCTCTTTTTTTTTTTTTAATTTCAGGAAGGCTAGTGCAATCTGAACCTACAGGTTTTCAGCCAGCCTACAGAGTTTCCATTGTTTGCCTAAGCCATCCCAGGTGCAACTCACCTTCCCAGTTCCCAAGGCAACAGGGAGACCAAGATTCTTAAAGGAGAAACTATCTGCTTTGATCAAGCAGCTTCTCACGTGCCTTTACTTTTCCTAATTTGTGGTCTCCAAGAGTCCTGGGCACTGAAGCACCCAGAAACCAGGCAATATCACATCAAATCTGTAAAGTAAACTACTTTGAGCAGGCCAGGGAAATACTGCATTCATTATGTAAAGTTTTCAAACTCACTAATTTTGCTGGGCTCTACAACTGCTTTTCTAGGAGTAGGGAAAAGAAGATATTATCCAGCTACTCAGGTTCCTTTAGAAAGGCGTTTTCACCCCTTTGTTCTTCTCATAGATGTCGAGCATTAAAAAAATTTCTGGGATTGGAAGCTGCCATTGTTGAAACACTTTATCCGAGCCTCCTTCCCTTTTTTGCTGTTGCTGTGTCTAATTTAGCAGTTATTCCTTAGCAACAATAAGGCAAATCCTTAAGGCCCAAAGTGGTGCCCATGGGCACTCTGTCCTAATTAATTTGTTGATTTTGGATTCATTTTACAATGGCAGCCATTTTGTGAAAAGGCGAGCCTTTCACAATGAAACCCAGAACATCCAAGATACAGTGCATGTCCCTTCCTCTGTTAAGAATTTGGAAAACCTTAATTCAAGTTTGTTTACAGTATTTGCCAATGTCCCTTAAGGGAGCTTGCACCTACACCTAATTTTATGGCCCCGGACCTCCTTGAATAG